GGTACGGGCGCGACACTGAGGGTTGCGATCCGTTGCCAGTCACGAAAAAAGACAAAAGGGAAAAAAAAGAAAAAAAAATAAAAGTTCTTTGGTCACGACTTTCTTTTTCAGAGGGGACAATCATTCAACTGACTTTTATCACAGTGGGTTCTGTTCAAACAACATGAAAAGACAGAGTGCTTGCCTGCAAATGACATCCGTCCTTCTAATAAACAAGTAAAATATCTCCTGTCTCCATATGGAGGCACCTCATAGACAAGATTCATGTTAATATTCTGGCCCCTCCAGGAAAATTTTATCAACTCTGTCCCTTCAAACATGCCCCTGCCTCCAACGATCCTCCTTCCATGGACGTCTTGACTATCACCACCACAAACAAGAGCAGCCCTAGCTATATTATACCTAAGGCAGTGTTTCCTGTGGTTAAGTCTTGAGCCCCGGAGTTAGACTGTCTGAGTCTCCACCTGCCATTTGTTCACTGTAATCTTGGGCAAGTTTCGTAACCTGTCTGTGCCTCTGTCTCCTCAACTATAAAAACAGGACACGAAAGGTACCAACCCTAACAGCTTTGCTGAGGATGACATGAGCTAAGACATTAAAGGAACTCAGAACAATGTCTGCCATGTATTAAGTGGTCAGAAATTATTAGTCATAGATGTATCAAATAGCCACCTGTAACAGACTGTTCCAGGGATGGGGTGGGGGGGAATAAATGATCATTCGAGGGGAAAAGGACTTCAGAGAGCACTTTACAGATGACGGCACAGAGGGCCTTTATGGCTCAATGTCTTGCCTGAGCTCACTCAGGTGGTCAACAGCAGCACCAGGGTACAGCTCCCTGCCACAGCACAATGCCCTCAAGGAAGAGAAAGCAAGTGAACTCCAAACTGACCCTCCACTTAGGTGCATATTACTGGTCTTATCTACTTCAATAACTGTAAATTATAAAGTTATAAGTAGTAACATGTACATAGATGATTCTATCAGCAGGATGAGAAAGAGATACTCTGTCCACATTATGTGTGTATGGGGACAGGGAAGGGTTATAACAATCACATCCATGTCAAAGACTTTAGGAGGTGACCTGTTAACAAAAAGTAGCCTGGATAATGGTCCAGAGTGTGAGACCACTTAAGCAGAGCTCCAAGACAGCCACCACAGAATGAGTCCAACACGTGAGGCCCAGACTCACTGTCCAGCTCTGCCCACCCAACATGCAGGCTCTGAATGGAGGTCACAGAGGTTGTGGAGCAGATGGGGAGGGGACGCTGGGCAAAAGGTGGAGACTGGACCCCAGACATGGAACATTCCAGAAACACCTCCACTATGCAACTGCCGTCAGTTCAGCTCATCGTCGCCCACCAATCTTCCTCCCTCTCTCCTTCATCTGGTAATCCACGCTGGCTTCTTCTACTCTCCTACTTTCTGATCTTTCCTCCTATTAACCTCCCACAGATTATCCCACAGTCTTCATGTCCTCAGGACACTGCCACACTTTCCAGCCACAGTGCCCTTGCCCCTGCTTCCTCCTCTTAGAATGCTGCTGCTGCTGATCTATGATCCCTCCCCCCTTCTCCCAACCAAAACTCTTTGGCAAAATCCTTTCCCAGAAATGTCAACCCTTCCATGAAGTCATCCTACAAAAAGATGGCCTTTTTCCAGAACCTTCCAGATCTTTCTAAGGCACATAATCAGTTCTACCTCACTCCTCGTTCAAGACTCTCTTCTTTACAGCCTTACACAGTGTCTGACTAGCAAGTGGTCAGCACTCAGTAAATACTACTTGCTAGCACAGAGGTCATAATGGTGGCCCAGCATACCTGATGCACAGCACAGGAACTGGGAAGGAGGGCAATGAAGAGCGAGTATAGCAGCAAAGACTTACTTTGTGCCAGAACTATCTGTGTTTAATATATGTTAACTCATTTGTCCTCATGACAACCCCATGAGGTAGGTGCTGTAATTATTAGCACATTACACAGGAGGAAACTGAAGAGGAAACTTTCCAAAGAGGAGGAAACTGAGGCACCGATGGGCCACATAACTTGCCCAAGGCCCCATTGTGAAATTGTGAATTGTACCAGTCCAGGTAGCTATTGATAAGACTTCTTTGCAAGACTGGTTTTTATAACCCTGCATCCTGGAAACCACTGCAGTTGTTCCACCCATTTGTATGCATTACCTTTCTGAACCAAAAACACACTCTGAAACTTACATTAAATTCTCACCTACTACTTTCTGAGCCAGAAATTAAAGATCAGTTCTGGCCAGATCTCCCCTGACAGTAAATAACATATGACAAAAGTCTCAATTCTAAAACTTGCTTAAACAGAGGGAATTATGAGATGTTTCAGATGGACTGGGCCTTGGGCCCCTCACCTAGCTCAACATTTTCCATCATTCCACTTCCAAATCTTGAAATATATACTGGAACTATCTGCAAGCACGCACATACAACACTCACTCTGAATATCGTTTTGATTGAACTGCAGGTTTAATATACAATGATAAGTATACGGATACACAAAGTGACTGACATGTTTAATGTGTTTTTTAAACAATCATAAAGGAATTCAGATCTCCCATTATAGATAGGAGAATATAGAAAAGACCTATATCTGGATTACAACTACATTCAAATTTAAGTGAAAAATGCAACAACTACCTGTATAATTGAGACTTTAAATAATTTAATATTAAACATCCCATTAACGGAAGCAAAAGTTGTGTTGATTCTAAGTAAGCCAGATAATTATCTCAGTTTCCATCAAAACAGTCAGGGAGTGGGGAATGGATAAAGATTTTTGGCTTTACAAATGTACACAGTGTCCTCACTGAAAGAAAATAGAAAAATAAATGTATCAGTAGATTAAACTTTGGAGTTAGGAGAGGATTACAACAGGATACCGATCAAATTTCTGTTCCCAGGAAATTGAAAAAGAGCAAGCCAATAATAATAATAATAATAATAGCAAACAAAAAAATTAACTTAATTAAGATGTTAGCAAAGCGGGAGAGAAGGAAGCCGAGGTTCTGTGCAGTTTGCGGCAGCAAACGGTTGTTTTTCTCCCCGTGATGAAGAGAAGGCTGGTGAAAACAGCAAGAAGGCACAAGACAGAGATCACAGTCGGAGACATGTGATATCCAGCACGTATCCACAACTTACCCAACTTGGTCTGTTTATTCAACACTTTATTTTCCCCACTCTGCCAGATTTAAATCAGGCAGCGGCTGAGCTTTTGTTGTTGCTGTTTCTGTTCTTTTGATCCCAGAGCCCCATGAAAATTAAACTCTGTTGGATGGGATCTGGCCCCGTCTCGCATTAGGGGGGGAAAGTTTGAAGCTCGGGGCCCTGGTTGCTCCTTTGGGGCAATGAATAAATAATAAGTGGGTAGAAGGAGAGGACGTGGGGGACGTGCTCAGCTGACGTCGGGCCCGGGAAGGGGCCGCACGGTTTCCCCTCACAGCTGTCCAGATGTGCTTCATCTGGTTCCTCCGCGGGGCACGAGCCTCGGCTGCCGCGGCTGGCAGAAAACCCCGCTCATTGGTGGCCGCAGCTTCTTGCTTGCCGCCGGTTTGCCGAGCGGCCCGCCACTCCCGCGTGCCTCGGGCCCGCCCACGCCCGCCCGGCCAGCTCGCTCCATCCTGGAAAGGAACCTGGAAGTGCCGCGCGGGCGCTGATGTGGCACTTGGCCGCGGTGGCGGCGGGCTCGGAGGGGCCCGGGGGACCGGTTGACACAGCGCTCGACCCTGCTCTGGCCCCTGACAGACCCATGGTTTTAGGCAATTAGGCTGATTTGTTGCAAGAGGATGATTTCTAACCGTTAGGGGGAAGAAATTACGGCGCGCCCGGAGCTTGCTAAAGCCCCTGCCCTTCCTAGTGGAAGAGGCTGGGGCCCTGGGCTGCCCACGCCCCCAAAGGGCATACAGGCCACGCCTCGGGACTTCACTCTTCCCTCTTTCTCCAGGGAGCGAATAATAGGGTTCAAGAGCTTGCTCCTGGGGGACGGTGTTATTTTGTCGGAGGAAAAAGGCTGATAAACACATCACTGAAGTCCTTAACCAGAAATGTGGTATCTGCAGAGAAGCCCAGGGATAGGTACAGGTGTGGTTTGGCAGACTTGGTTGGTTTTTTCTTTGAGTGGTGGTAGTTGTAGGAAAACGAGTTGTTGCTTTGTTCTGTGATAATTGAGAAAGGACTGCACACCAAACTATGCTTTGATCCTGGGGAAATGGGTTGATTAGCTGGTTGGAGTGGGGAGGCGATCTGCTTAATCAATTGCCATTATAATTCTTGGATGTTGACAGAAATGTGACCTTATTGAGATATTAAGATGGCAAGAGCCACTCACTGAGCTGGACACCGTAGAAGGTGCCAGGCCCTGTACTAAACAGCTTTTACATTCATTATCAAGTTTTATTCTTACAACCACCTTAGGAAGTAGATATTATAATTATCTCCATTTTTTAATGAGGATCCCCAAACCCAGAGCCTATTCCAGTATGCCTCAGATGTCTCCAAACATATGTTTGCAGACATATGTACCCATCATGGGTACATAAATTCATGTGCCATTTGCCACCAGTGTGGGGGTCAGAATTTATTGTGACTACCTATACCTTCTTATGTCCAAAGCTTTCCCTACAGAGATGATATCCTGTTTGTTGGTGTATTCATTATCTATTTCTGTGTAACAGATTACCACAAATTTAGTGCTTGAAACAACACACGTATATTATTGCACAGTTTCTGAGGGTCAGAAGCCCAGGCATGTCTTAATGGATCCTCTGTCCAGGATCTCACGAGACTGCAATCGAGGTGTCAGTAGGGCTGTGTTCTCATCTCATCTGCAGACGAGCTTCCTAGGTTGTTGGCAGGATTCATTTCTTTGCAGCTACAGGACTGAGTCCCCAGTTTCTTTCTGGATGTCAGCTCTAGATGCCCTTATCTCCTAAAGTCTGCTCTCAGGCTCCTAGTGGTTACCTGCAGTTCCTAAAAGCCAGGAGGTAGAGATCGTGAGGGACCACTTTCAAGTCTGTCTGTCACAATTGGGTAGTCAGGCACCTCAGTTTCTATGGACCTGACTGCAATGTTATCATAACTCCACAAGCCCCCTCCCCAAAATACAGGGGCCTGCTCACCAAGTAAAGTGGGACTACATGAGTGGATTCACAACACTCAGTCCTTCTACCAGTCAAGGAAATCTGCAAAGAAGCATCCTTTTGCTGTGCACTTTGAAAGTAATATGTCGTGTGTTCTGCTTTATGGATCATTTGTAATCTGACAGTGGTGTGCCTTTTATCACAGAAGATATTCACCAGTGGGTTATAGTCAAGATATTCATCAACCTTCTACGCTCATTACCATCAGCAGATATCTGATGTTATTGACTATTGGAACAGCTTCTTCAAAGCCTTCAAAAAAAAAAAAAAAAAGATTTCTCCTATTTACAGAAAGATGAAGTAGACTCAGGTTTTCTCATTTCTCCTGCTAAGCACAACTAAAAATCTTGGACTTTATATATTAACCAATGTAAGAAGACTCTGAAAGGTTGAGAGAAGAAGGCAGAACAGCTAGAAATCTCAGAACACAAGGAATGACATAATGGTGAATTCCCTGGGTTTTCTCTGTTTCATTGTCCCAGACTTGAAGATGAGAAAGCCAGTAACCCAAAAGTGCCAATAGTCACAAACAAAAAAAAGAAAAGAAAAAACAATAAAGCCTGCTCTCTCTAGCCAAGGACCAGGAAAGTGGCAGCCTAGAAAGAAAAAAAAAATCTTTTAGACCGTAATGGCTCTACTCCAGCCAAACACCACAGGAAAAACTGTGGCCCCACTCACACCCACACCAATGAAGGCCAAGTAGGAATCCTGTCTTTCACCCTTACCAGGCTATAACAAGGTGAAGATGCAAAAATTCTTTACAAAATATTACAAACAGAATTCAACAATACATAAAAACAATTATACACCACGACTAAGTGGGATTTTTTCCAGGGATGCAAGGCTTGTTCAACATTCAAATATCTATCAGTGTAATTCATGTTACTAACAGCCTAAAGAAGAAATATCACATGAACATATCCGTGTAGAACAAACACTTGACAAAATTCAGCATCATAAAAATGCATAGAAAAGTAGGAATAGAAGGGAACTTCCACACCTTGATAAAGAGTGCCTACAAAAAACCTACAGCTAACATTATATTTATGTGAAAGGCTGCATGCTTTCCATACATATTTTGTGATTCTATTTATATAACATCCTTGAAATGTCAAAATAATAGAAATGGAGAACAAACTAGTGGTTGCCAGGGGTTAAGGAAGGGCTGGGTTGGGGGGGAGGAGTGTAGCTATGAAAGGACAATGTGAGGAATCCTCATGGTGACAAAAATGTTCTGTAGCTTGACTGCATCTGTCGGATATTGTTGGGATATCGTACTATAATTTTTCAAAATGTTACCATTGGCGGAAACTGAGTAATTGGTACACAGGATCTCTCTATTATTTCTTAAAACTGCATGTACGTGTACAATTACCTCAACATAAAAAGTTTCATTTAAAAAAATATTTCTGACTCCATCTCCTTCACCTGCTCCTGGTTCACACAACTTAGTAAAGCATTTTGGCCACTGAATGCACCTCTCCCCAAAAAGGGTTTGTCTCTCAGCTGCTTCCCGAGTAATGTTCTGGATGAAAGGGGTTGAGGGTTATACAGAAGAATTACGAAAGTTGGGATTCTACCCTGACCATTCTTGGGCGTAATGTTTCATTCTTTCCTTTAATGACAACTATAAGCTGGCTGGGTTGGTACCTTGTCCAGGTGGTAGCCAGACCAAAAGGCTAGGGGATGCAAATTTAATTCTAGTTCAGCCACCTGCAATCTCTTGTTGGATTGACATGGTCCTAGACCATAAGGTTAATGAACACTTGGTTGAGTACACTGCTCACCGAATCCTCCCACAGTAGTCAGTGTGGGCCCAAGTGGGGGATGTAAGGGATCTCTGTAAACTTTATTAAAATGTGCTTGTCCCTCTTGCATCGGACTTTCTGGAAGAAAGGGCTTGATATGACTAAGGGATGATTGGAAAGAGGTGAGTTTATAGCTAGGGGAGTGGACACACTGATTTTGTCAAGGTGAAACAGCAACAACCCTGGCACCAAAGAAGGGAACATCTTAGACCCTGGAATATAGAGAGGAGGGAGGGACATTAACGATACTTTGTCAGAACTGCCCCTAGAGTCTTCCTCCCCAAGGAAAATGCCTTGATGCTGCTTTCCCAAACTGTTGTAAGCACCTTAAATTTAACCAACCGAACTTCTGTCATCCCATCAGACAGTTCTAACCACAATCTGATAGCCATTCCCCTTAACCTTCCCAAGAAGTTTGTTGGAAAGAGCAAGGGATGACCCCATCCATCACAAAGTATCTGCGGACACCTCTGAATGTCTTCTTCACTCCCTTTCTCGGTCACCTCGTGGGGTGAACAAATGCCTCTCACCTAGTGGCAAGGACAAACAGGGCAGGTCAGAATGACTATCCTCAGGCAGTCTTCCCCAAAGCAAGGACTAGCATCAATTATTCTAACAACTGGGAACCCTAAGGCTTACCAACTAGCCAGAAGGCCATATTGGAAACACGGTCATCTGTCCCCCCTTCCAACCCTCCAATGATGCAGGTTCCTCTGAGGGCCTCGACAATTTTCAACATCTTGGTCTTTTTAGGGATACCATGTGCGTCCCCAAGACTGTACTTCTTGAGTGGAAACAGGGCATGAACTTATCTCCCTCCCCAAAACATGGCAAGTTGCATCTTAGACGTGGTCACAAGAGACCCACAAGTGTTTTAACAAAAACTACCAGCAGATCATGTAACTCTCAGACCACTGAGGAGATTTTTCTTTTAATTAGATTTCTCTTGGTTATTTGGAAAAGCTTCCCAGAGGGATGAATGACTCATTGTTTATGCACACCCTCCTGGCAGTTTTCCCCACAATGGGAGTCATCTAATTATAAAAGACAGTAAAATAAGATTCAACAAATTACAAAGGATTTGAAATCAGACAGAATATGTTTTCCAACCACAATGGAATAAACCTAGAAATCGATAATTAAAACTAAATGGGATATCTACATGACTTTGGTAATTAAAAAAATATACTTTGAACTAACTTGTTGTTAAAAATGCAATCACAAATGGCTGGCTGGTTAGCTCAGTTCATTGGTTAAAGCTTGGCGTTGTGATACCGATGTCAAGGGCTCAGATCCCCAAATCGGCCAGCCACCAAAAAAAACAAAGAAAAAGAAAAGTCAATCACAATGGAAATGAGAAAATGTTTGAGCTGATTGCTAGCTTATCGAAACCTGCAGGATGCAGGAAAGCTGTACTTAAAAGGAAATTGATCATCTTAAAT